GCCAGGGTGCTTACCCTGGTGAGCCGCGTGCCAAACATTGCAGACCCCTGTTGTAAGGTGATTAAGTAACAGTCAGTGTGGATTTGTCAAGAGCAAATCATATCAGACCAATCTAGTATTCTCCTTTGACAGATTAACCAGTCTTGCAGTAGGGGAAAAACAGTAGATGTGATATATTTCGACTTTAGTAAGGCTTTTGATATTGTCTCACATGACCCTCTCATAAGGAAACTAGGGAAATGTAGCCTAGATGAACCTACTATAAGGTGGGCGCACAATTGATTGGAAAACCCTACTGAGAGAGTAGTTATCAGTGATTCTTAATTTAACTGAAATGGTATATCTAGTGGAGTCCTGTAGGTATCTGTCCTGGGTCTGGTTGAATTCACTATCTTCATAAATGATTTGGATAATGGCATAGAGAGTATACTTATCAAGTTTGTGGACGATACCAAGGTGGGAGAGATTGCAAGCACTTTGAAGGATTACATTCAAAATGATCTTGATGAATTGAAGAAATGGCCTGAAATAAACAGGATGAAATTTAATAAGAAGAAATGCAAAATACTACACTTAAGAAGGAATAATCAGTAGCACAAAAACAAAATAGGAAATGATTGCCTAGGAAGGGGTACTAAAGAAAAGGATCTGGGGGTTCTAGTGGCTCACAAACAAAATATGAGTCAACAATGTAATATTGTTGCAAAAAAAAGTGAACATCATTCTCAGAAGTAGTAGCAGGAGTGTTGTAAGCAAGACATGAGAAGTAACTCAAGACTGAAAAGACCTCAACGGGAGTCCAGTTCTGAGCACTACACTTCGAGAAAGATGTGGACAAATTGAAGAAAGTCCAGAGGAGAGCAACAAAAATGATTAAAGATCGAGAAAACATGTCCTATGAGGAAAGATTGAAAGCACTGGGTTTGTTTAGTCTGGAGAAGAAAAGAGTAGGGGGACACACGCATGATAATAGTCTTCAAGTATGTGGTTATAAATAGGAGGGTGATACATTGTTCTTCTTATCCCCTAAGACAAGACTAGAAGTAATGGTCTTAAATTGCAGGTTAGACATTAGGAAAAACGTCCTAACTGTAAGGATAGTTAAGCACTGGAACAAATTACCTAGGGAGGTTGTGGAATCTCTGCCATTGGAGGTTTTTAAGACCAAGTTAGACAAACATCTGTCACGGATGGTCTAGATAATACTTAGTCCTGCCTCAGTGCAGGGGACTGGACTAAATGACCAGTTGACGTCCCTTCCAGTCCTATATATCTATGATTCTATGGGCCAGATGAAGGGCCACTGGCATAGAGGGGTTGTGGCTGCTGTTCCAGCCCATGTGCTAGAGTCACAGCTATTGAAGACTTGGGTCAGGAGAAGTGGATTTCACCTCCCCCATCTCTTTGCAGTCCATCTCTATGGAGCCCAAACATTCAGGCTTTTCTGTTCATGGAGTGAATTTCTGCTTAGTGAATAAAATATTGAAATGAATGCTTGTCAGTGAGAACAGAAGCACCAGAATTGCGGCTAGATGATTACAAAATCAAAGAATATTTTATAAATTCTCCATTATTCAATACATTGGTTTAGAGCCTCATTAACTCTGATGGTAACAGTTTTAATGAGCCAGGATATTACACATCCACTGCTGAGCAGTGAAAAGTCGGTCAAAACTACTTTTCATATGACAGATGCCCCCTGATGCAGTTAACACCACTTTAAGCATTAAGGCCATGCCCGCGGGATGTAAATTATCCTCTGTCTCAGCTTCCTACCATACCATGCTCTGATCCAGTGTCTGTGTGAATCATGGAAATTGCTTTTTTAAAAAAGCAGTTAAATAAAACGCATACATTCTGATCCATCACTTGTCAGTCAATGGGTGATTTTCCACTGACTAATTGTAAGTTGGAACAAGTCCAGAATGAATAAACTTAGATGGCAATACATTAAATTTAAATGTTTCCTGCAATATTGCAACACTTGTCCTTAAAATTTTAATATTTACTGCAATGCTTAAGCTTAGATTTATACTTAGGAAGTTATGGGCATGGCTCTGTACCTTAGCTGAATCCCATTAGCAATCATCCTTTATGCTATAATTCTTTTGAAATGCCTAAGTACTAAAGACAGACTTATGAGAAAATGTGAACTATGGATACCTCCAGACGTAAAATTGTTTGGAGGACTTGGGGGATTTTGGCCTTCCTCTGAATTGGTACATACTCTAATTCTTAATGGCATCACTACAGCTACACCGCTGAAAGAGGCACTTTCAGGGGTGATATCAAGAGTTCAACAGATTGGCTATTTGGCTTAATATTAATCTTACAAATATATCCTGGCAAATTGACATAACACATATAAAAACAATATGAGAGATCTGACCCACACATATCTAATTTTTTTAAGTGTAGCAAACAAAGATTATCCATGTGTTTTAAAAAAGTAAAAACTTCCTAAAGTCAGAGTTAGATATCACCTCTTCAGAAATACAGAGGGACACAGCTTCTCAGTGGGACACAACGCTTGCTTATTCTAGCCCTAGAGGAGCTTAAGGGAACAGTCTTTAAAAACATGGCATTTTAAGATGCCAGAAATCTAAGTGATTTTTTTAAAGACATTTTGATGTATCTCTGAGCCCTGTACTATTGGATTAGGGCACTCTGCATAGTTGCATTGATTTTAGTGTGTCTTCGATAAAAATGTGGTATTTACAGAATATAGGATTGTGTGGTATGATATAAGGATTTTCCCCACACTTTTTCTGGGATGATCTGCCAAACTCCCTGGGGGATTTACTACTCCTGAGTAATGTGGCCATTGCAATTTCATGCTAACGAAACACTTAGATTGCAAAGGCGATCGTTGGGGCAAGAGTCATCTTTTTGTTCTGTGTTTGTACAAAGCCTAGCGCAATGGGGTCCAGGTCCTTGACTACAGCTTATAGCCGCTATGATAGAACAAATAAATAATAACAATAATAATAAATGTATGAATGCTTAAATTTCTAGTATTTGTTGTTTTCTTTCAGAATCTTAAAATATTGTGTACACAGTTTTTCAAGAGCAGACATAAATTAGCTTAGATAAACATTTAGCAGTTTATGCTTACTTATGCCAAGTTCAGAGCCTCTTTGCTAGATATTCATTCTATGGTGTATAGCACTGATTTAGGCAAATGTGACGAGTCAGCTGACATTCATGCAAATTCTTGGCATTCGATTAATTTAGATTAATTTCTCTATACATTCTTTCATAGACTTTCATTTGATTTCTCTGCCAAGTAGCCATCAAAACAATTCCCGAGTGAGATTTTTTGAAGCAGGTGTTAGCTATGGAAAGCTATTCAGTATTAACTGTACCTGCCTCACCTCTACAAACTTTGGAGACACCTTTTTTCCCCCCTGATTATTGTCCTTTCACAAAAGGCCTGATTTAAAGTATCTGTCAAATTGCGTCTCTGGTTTCCCTCTTCTCCCCCCATTAATTGGGCATCTATTATGTTTGGGTGGGAAGGAAGGAGGCTGTAGGCTGATATAGCAATACTGCTGGGGAAAGAACATTAACATGGATAAAGGGATTTCCTAGTGGTATAAATACCTGCACACGACCTCCCTGTGCTCTGGAGCCCTTGTTTATGTATATATGCAAGTTAGGAGAACTGGAATAGAGTTTGACTGCTGTTAATCAATAAGGATATATTTTGTTAGAAAATAGGGGAAGGTGTTTCTTTGTCTTTTCTCCTTTTGTGGGAATGAGTTGCCAAGCATTTACTTCAGCCGACACCTTCGTCCCCTTGAATTCTGACTCTTCTCCTGCTCTGCCTCTGATAATGCATCATAGCGCTGCAGAATGCTTGCCCGTCTCCAACCATGCTACCAATGTCGTATCTACAGGTACTTTTTTACTAGAACAATTACACTCTTGTTAACTAACTTTCTTTTTAAATGCTTTACCCTCTTTCTGTAAATGTTGCCAAACTTAACATAGAGATAGGGAAACACAGGAACAGCTATTTCGTATCAGCTCTGTAGTGACTAGGGACTACCTTCAAGCAGGAAAGTTTTCACAAGGCTATGTAAAAATGAATACATCTAGTGTGACTAAAATGTTTGCATTTTAGCCAAGTTTGTAGCTATCTCTAAATTTGTTATAGGATTAGGTTGAGGTATTTTACCAGCACAGTGATGTATTGGCTACAAATACTATCAAACTTTTGTAATGCAAAATAGTCTTCAGTGACAAATGTCTCCTGAAATAAACAAAATTATATTTTGCCTATGAAACTGCAGTTTATAAATATCTAAATGTATGATTTCAAATGGGTGATCTACTTAAAATGAGGCAGATGCTGATGGCATTAGCTGGGAAAAATACCCATTAATGGGAAAATTAACATTTTAATAAATATAATAAATACTGAATAAAGACACTAGGATTTGGGTGAGATTTTCAAAAGCGAAGTTATTTAAGTGCATCGGACCCATCCTTCTGTGTTTTGGAAGTTGGTACATTTATCTGACTAGGAATTTTAGTATGATTAACTTCAACTATATGTTAAAACTGAATAAAAATCAAATGTTTCCTAAGAGACAGAAAATGTGCTTGCTACCTGAAAATGTACAGAACTGGAGTTTTATCTCGTTGACATTTCTGTTCTTTCGAATGAATGAAAATAAAAGTTCAGAAATAGAGAGAACTTGAATATTAATCTCAGCTAACTCAATGACTCAAATTGGGTTCCATGGAGGGGAGAATTTTACTTGATGTCTTCAATAAAACGATGATCTCCTGTTAAGCATACTGGAAGTAACATCTTTCAATTGGAAGAAAAATGAACCACCTAACTACAGCACACTCGACAGAAAATTGAGAGTATTGATGACAACATGATTGCATATTAAATAGCGGGCTCAAAATGTTTCATAGTGCTTGTTAGAAAAACATAGAACACTTAAATTAGAGAAAAGAGGACAAATTTCTATATCAATTTTATGGTAGCATTTTCTGAATTGTTTCTTTTCCGACATGCTCCAAAGTAAAGAATTGGCTGAAAATATCACCGCATCCTTTTACTAAGTCTATGTTTTAGTGTTTAATAATCATAGACCCAAGTCTGCAGTCCTTCCTAAAGCACAAATCCCACTGAAGTAAATGGAAATTTTGCCTAATAAGAAATGCAGAATCACATTCTATTTTATTGTATTATTACCCATAGCAAGAATGCCAGTATACAGTCCTAGAACAAAGAAAGACAAAGTGGGTGAGGAAATCTCTTTTAGTGGACCAACTTCTTTTGGTGAAAGAGACAAGTTTTTGAGCTACACAGAACTCTTCAGGTCCTGGAAAGGGGGAAATGAAATAGAACTCTTTATAACTTGAAAGCTTGTCTCTTTCACCTACACAAATTTGTCCAATAAAAGATATTACCTCACCCACCTGGTCTCTCTAATATCCTGGACCTAACACAGCTACAACACTGCATAGAACAAAGAAACCAATAATAGAGAGAACATTTATTAGTATTAGGGGAAAGGTTCTAAGTTTTCAATACAGATGGCAAGAACTGTAATACATAGTGCTATGGTGAGTCCGTGTAAAGAACTTGTGCAAAAAAGAAATGTATAAGGATTTTTACACTGAATCATTATATAATTATTTTTTTTAAATTGACAAAATCCCTCACCATGCGTATGGGCCTTGTAGCTCCGTTGCATATGAATTAATTTTGCTAATCGGCACGTAAGTGAACACACACACACAAAAGCATCATAAACTTTAGACAAGTATATGTTATCTGTATGCTATATATATTATTAAAGATATGTTCTGGAATAGATTTTATTTTAAAAAATATCTTAGCAATGTAAGACTTCACTCCAGCATCTGCTATTAAAATATTGCCAGGAAGTTGGAAATGTCAGTCTTTTATGTCTGAAAATCATGGGATGTGTGGATTAGCAAACTGCAGATTGGCAAAATTCAACAGTAAACAAGTAATTCAAAATAAGTCTTTAAGACTTTGTCTAAGCACAAAAGTTTTACAGCTTTATCTATACTGGTGTAGTTAAAGCAGTATAGTAGTCCCTAGTGTGGATGCAGTTTTGCTGGTATGAATGTGCTTTACCAGTATAGTTTATTCCCATATGGAAAGAAGAATAAGCAATACTTATCTAAGGTCCCCTTATACCAGTATAACTGTGTCAACAATAGCCGCTGTACTGGTATAACTACATTGGTGGTAAAAATCACGCCGCCTCCTCCCTCAGCTAACATTGTTATACTAGTGCAAAACGTGTATGGAAACTATATTAGTGTAGTTCTAAATATCTGAACTTTGATGACTATGATAATAACAATGTTGTAAACTATTAAAATTTCATAGATCATTGTTAGCATTTTTGCTATACTGCAGAAATCCTTTTGTGCATTTATACAATTCAGAAGAATCAAAGAAACCAACATAGTTCTGTAGTCTTAGAGACAATTCATATACAATCCAGTACTTTAAAAATATCCACTTGTTTGTATCTATTTTTCCTTTTAGTCCCAGAGCAAGGATGAAAGCAATGCAAATTTCTCCAGACTGTTCTAGCAACATGCTTCAGCTTTGATGTAGAAGGATTAGCCATGAATAGTAACCAAGTCATGCAGTTAGGGTGACCAGACAGCAAGTGTTGAAAATTGGGATGGGGGTGGGGAGTAATAGGAGCCTATGTAAGAAAAAGACCCAAAAATCGGGACTGTCCCTATAAAATCGGAACATCTGGTAACCCTACGTACAGTTCTCATGTCTACCTTTCCTTGATTTCTCTGCTGCGGCTGCCAACACAGGAGCTGATTTGTGACTAGGTTTTCTGTGATGTGGACACACGTCCAAAAAGACATGAACAAATACCACAAACTCAATTAACTCAGCCCACTGAATTGCCATCCCACTAACTAACATTGAAATTACAGTTAGGGTTACCCAGTTTGAATTGTCATAAGTTCCTGAACGAGCCCTGATGTAGGATTCAGTGTTGCTGGGGCCATTTGGAAGCCAGGTGAATTTCTGAAAAGGTCAAAAGCATGGTCTCTCTATTGTTTGAGGGAGAGGGCTAAATCCATTATTTGGAAGCAACAACAGTCTCATAAACTTCTTTCATGTATCAGCCTTAGAAGGAGACCATATATTCTCATTCTGTGTGATTTAGCACATCTCCACGTATCTTTAGTATACAACAACTTCAAAAACCAGACTTCCTGTTTTGCTTGCATGCATGCAGAAATGCATGATAGATTTTTGGAATGCTGACACGAGAGATTACGGAGCAGAGATCTGAACCTTAAATCTCTTCATTAGAGCCAGCCAAAATTATTAATATTTTTATTCACAGAATTGACCAGCAATAGCCCAACATTTGGGGATACAGAAAACTTTACAAAATATTTTGTCAGCATGAAATGCTGCCCTACATGGCCAATAATTTTATTAGTGAGGGTCATGCTGCTGCTTAAACCCTTACCTGATTTCCTGAGATGCCTGATACATAATAGTGTAGCCAAGCAAACAATGGAATCTATTTCCTTGTTCTCTTCTTCAAACTTCTGCCAGCCATCCTGCTGCCTGCCAGACTCCTGTGCAAACCATTTAGACAAAATGCTTGTGGCGCTATTGCTGCTGCTATTGCAAAATGTTGAGTTAGGCCTAAATTTTCAAAGTTTTGCATATCTGTACTTTTGAATGTCCACCTAGAGACACCTTAAAGGGACCTGGTTGTCAGAGGGTGAGTGCTCAGCACTTCTAAAAATCAGGCCCTTTTAAGGTGTCTTCAGGTGAGTGTCCCAAATCACTGCATGTGCAAATGTAGGGTTTAGCCTACCTAGAAAATTGTCCTCTTGGTTATATATGCTTCTTTTAGGGTTTGCATTTTAGGGGCTGATGGGCTTTTCAAGAACTTAGAAAAGATTAAAGTAAAAATAGATGGAACAATATTGGGGGCCTGATCTCCATACACATGTAAAGAGGACATCTTGTCAGGATGCCTAAATTATTACATTTGAGATAATAAATTAAGACCTGGCAAGATAAATCATTGCTCTTGGCTAAAAGTGAGCTAGCCTGTTTTCTGCTGAGGCATGAGCACCTACTGTAGGCTGTTCCCTACAGAATTACCTTGAGAGTTAAAAAGCAGTGTAGAATGGTTAGCATGCAGACAAAAACAAAGTACAAAGATATTCTCTGCCTCTGGACTGAAAGGATGTATCTTGAATCCTCATACATTTTCTTACCAGTCCCGTCTGTTTTGTCTTTGGTCCATACTCCTAAATGTTCCTACGTGCACTTCTCCATGGCGACTTTGGGAAACGCGTCTACAGGTCTTCATTATTCTGTCCCTTCCTGTCATTATGGAAACCAACAGTCTACCTATGGGGTGATGGCAGGTAAGAGATATTCATTCATTCTAACAGGTTAGTTATTGGCATGATTGTTTGAGGGAATTTTCCTTCAGAGGGGCTGAGGAAATGGAGGTTAATGAGAGGAAGGATGGCCCTATGGTTAAGGCACTGGACTGGGACTCCAGAGAACTGGGTTCAGTTTCATGCTTTCTCACAGCCTCTATCTGGGGATCCTGAGCAAATCACTTACTTTCTCTGCCTCACTTCCCTGTCTGTGACACTGGGATAATGCTTCCTTTCTCTCACCCATTGTCTGTCTTGTGCACTTAGTTCCTGCCCCAAAGAGCCTCCAATCTGTCTTCTGCCATTACTGTATGTGTGTACAGTGCCCAGTGCATTGGGGCCCCAATCTCAGTTGGGGCCTCAGGGCCCTATGCAGTACAAATAATAAAAATTATGACTGATTATGGAATTTTTATCGAATTCAGTGAGATAAATTCAGCACAGGATGGAGCTGCTTCAGAATCATCCACCCAGGGTGAGATCAATCAAAGAAACAAAAATAAATGTAGTGCCATTTTTGGTACTCATAAAACTTGTGTGACAAGATATCAAACATTCAGTTAACTGTGACTCAGATTTTGGCTTGTGAACATTCTATTTCTCAATCCAGAGTCCCCACTCCTTTCTTCGAATACAATGGTTTGAGCATTGGCCTGCTAAACCCAGGGTTGTGAGTTCCATCCTTGAGGGGGCCACTTAAGGATCTGGGGCAAAAATCTGTCTGGGGATTGGTCCTGCTTTGAGCCGCGGGTTGGACCAAATGACCTCATGAGGTCCCTTTCAACCCTGATATTCTATGATTCTAAGCTGACTTGAAGCAGGTAGGGAAGAAAAAATGAAAATGGCATTTTCTGGATTCTCCCTACTCCCGTGTTGTTCTTCCCTCCCAGTCTTTAGTGATACAAAACAAAGAGGGTAAGGTCACACCTTAACAGCTGATAGCTATGGGTGATCAGGATTGTCCCTTATACTCTCAATTAAAATCACATTGTTATGTGATAGTGGGGTTACTGTATGTGTGACACCACTATACCTTGTTATGAAACATCAAGGGAAATGTCCGGTGCCTGACATGGTTTAGTAGGTATAAGAAGCATTAGTCTTGCAGAGACTGCTGCAGGTTTTATGATTAATAACAGGCTGGCAAGCTTTGAAATAGGTACTTATGTTGAGTATTAACAACTTGCTTTCAACCAGAGTAAACACATCAGGAGTGGTTTCTTTTCACAGAGATACAGTAGCTGACATGTAGGAATGTCAGTCCTTCAGAGTGAAAGGAAATGTGTGTGAAGGCCAAAGAGAAATCACTTAATTCAATTTATGCTTTTCCAAATCTCATGCAGCAATATGAATTGTTTTCACACAGAGGATCAATAGAGTTTATGATGTAACTTGTAAAGATGTTTTAGCACCCAGTGCAGTTCTCTAGAGACCACACTGAAGAGAGAAGAGAAATTGTTCAATATAAAGGTGTTCAAGTCAAGTATCAACCAGCAAAATAATGTAATGATGCCAGGGGAAGAGATTTGCCAGGAAATAACTATGGCTCAAAACTAATCCAAAATCAAACACAGCATTTTATTTCAATTGAGAAGGACGGAAAATGTAAAAATAAATCAGCATAGGTGAATGTTTCCTCATGTAGACTTTTCTGGGACAGCAAGTAAGACTCTTTCTTTCTTCACATGGCCAAATGCTCCTGCTTCTCTGTCTCTTCTTGTGTCTCTGGTACAGAAATTCTTGCTCAGATCTCTATGGGAAGTCCACCGAAGAAGAATCATTAGATGAGGAGGGTTTTCATTCAGAAATATCAACCTATTTCTACACCAAAAGAATTCCATGTTGCTGCAGTCTCCTTTTTTCCACTTCCTTTTAGGCATCAAGCCTGCAACCCCAGAGATGTTATCAGCAAGTCTCTCCCAGAGTCGCATTTTACAGACCTGCAGCATGCCCCATCCCAATGTGGTGAATGGAGTCAGCACTCTGCAAGGCAAGTCCTTCTCTTGTTTAGTCTTTTTCCCTTCAGACATTTAACAACTCCCTCCCTCTTTTCACAGTCATACTGCATGCGACTTAATATATCACTAGGGTTAGAACCTCCATTGTATTCCCAGCTCTCTGGAGGATGTAATCTAGGCAGTGAACAAGACAAGAAGAACAAAAGAGAAGGAAGAGAAAGGAAGGATGGTCTTGTGGTTTAGATGCTGGGCTGGAGATGAGGGTTCACTTCCAGACTAGGCTACAGACTGCATGACTGGGCAAGTCAATTACTCTCTAGATTCCCCAGCTCTAAAATGGGGGTAAGAATTTTTCTTTTCTCCCATGCTTTGTCTGCCTTGTCACTTCAGAGAGACAAGGTGGGTGATATCTTTTATCGGACCCACTTTTGTTGTTAATAAAAGATGTTACCTCACCTATGTTGTCTCTCTAAAATTCTGGGACCGACACCACTACAACACCAATGCAAGCAACAGTGGAAGATATCAAATATTGTCTGTTCGGGTCAGGGAGTCTCTCTGTTTGTTCAGTGCCCAGCACAAAGGGCACCTGATCTTGATTAAATGGCGCTGTGTAGTCCAGCAGTGAATAAAATTTAGCATAAAGTAGTTCATCCTTGTGCAATTACTTTCATCTCTAAAATTATAATGTGATGATCTTATCACTCATTGGGCTTCATCCTGTACTCTTTACTCAAGGAAATTTCCCATTGAAATTGGTTGCATATAGTACTGAACCTGCATCTCACATGTAGTTTATAAAGTAGTATTGTTGGTACCAGAAAGCTAACAAAGACTATGGGCCAGATCCTCTGCTGGTGTAAACTGACATAGGTCCATTTACTTCAAGGAAAGCAATGCTATTTAGACCGGTTGAGTACCTGTCCCTATCTAAGGTACTTATATGGCCCTCATTCTCATAGTATTTGAACACTTCATAGCACATAGTACTATTATTCACATTTCACAGATAAGGAACTGAGGCAAAGCGTAACAGTTCAGGGAATTGAGTCCTGCTCCCTCCGTGTCAGGCTGATACCCTAACCACTGGATAGTCCTTCCTCTCTATAGTATGTAATATTACAAAGCTTAACAGTTGGTAGTTGGCACAAAGGTTTATTATGCAATGCTGGAGAATGATTATATCAAATTGTGTTTTTTGGCTTCATGCAGGTGGCCTAACCCCTTGCCTTTATAAATTCCCTGAACATGCGCTGAGTGCCAGTTCCTGTGCTCTGGGGCATGGCTTCACTCCCATGCACCAGTCTATCCTTGGAGATGATCCCGCAGCCACTGACTTCAAGCAGGAATTCCGCAGAAAAACCAAGTCTGTTGAAGAGCCAATAGACATGGATTCCCCTGAAATCAGGGAACTGGAAAAGTTTGCCAATGAGTTCAAACTGAGGAGAATTAAGCTAGGTATGTGCTTTCTACCAGCCAACTATAGCCTGAAAATCCAAATGAAAGCTCAATTCTTTCTGTATCTTTTATATTCTAGTCCACTTGATATGCTTTATTATTTAAAACCTGCCTCACATTTACCAAGCTTTCTCCATACCTAGAAGACTTGTTTAGAATTAATTACCTCAAGCTTTTTGCAACTTTTTGCAATAATAGTAAGTGATTTTAAAACTTTCTGCTGTATCTACTACTTCTGTCTGCCTCTGAGAGCAAATTATTGTTACCTGGACTAGCTGTATTCTAGGGGAAAGTGTGATCAATTACACAAATCATACTGTAAAGTTGCATTTAATTCAGCCTTTCAGGATTGTCATGGAAATTTGCTAAACCGGATACAAAAGCTACTTGTTACTGTGATAGTGAAAAACCTAAGGATACTTTGCCTGTCAAAAATTATTCACCAAGGCCGTTGTATAAGTTGTAAGGCCGATTTAAGGTATGATTTAGATACAAAATGACACATTTTAAAGTGATTTCAATGGAGTTGAACAGGAAATGATTTTTATCCTTTGAAAAATTGATGAAAGTGAAATTTTATTCATTTTCACCAAGTTTTTGGTTGCCCAAAATAGTAAAAAATACATTTTTTTATATAAAACCCATTTTTTAAAAAAGAAAGCAGCTGTTGTAGCAATAAATTTCCATTTAGTCAAAAAGCCATTTTCATTTTAGATGGAAAATTTCCATCCAGCTCTAGTCTTCAACCCTTCCTTTAAAATTGTACTCCAAGTTTTTTCCTTTAAATATCCAATTGATACATATTAGGGTGACCCCCTCACCAGTATGCAGGAATTAAAGTAAAGACTTGTTTACACACGCAGTTGCACTGGTTTCACTCAAATTGGTTTTAAAACAGATGTATTTAAACTGGGGCAAAACCCCTGGGTGGACACTCTGAAGTGGATTTAAACTCGGCTTATATTAATATAGCTGAAATCAATTCCATGCTGATAAACAAAATTGATACTTCATTCTTAATTGAAGGGAGTTGCAGTGATTAGGGCTTGGCTACACTTAAAACCTATATTGGCAGAGCTACCTTAGTTAGGGATGTGAAAAAACCCACAGCCTTGAGCAATGTAGTGTGCCAACAAACCCCCTAGTGTAGATACAGCTGTGCTTATGAAAGAGGGTTTCTGGCAGCATAACTAACTTTGTTTGGGAAGGTGTTACTACATTGGCAGAAAACCTCGTTCTAGTGTACAGTGCATCTACAATACGGTGCTATGTCAGCATAGTCTCTGTAGCATAGATATGGCCTTAACTACAAGAATTTCTAAACAGATTTAGTGAAATCAGTACAAATTTTTGTGTGTACACAGGCCTTAGTTAAATCAGTGTAACTGTGTGTAGATAAGGTCTTGGAAAAAGCCTGGGAGAACACAGCTGAAAACTAGGGTTGCCAAATTTCTTATCGCACAAAACCAAACACCCGAGCCCGACCCCTTCCCCGAGGCCATGCCCCTGCTTATACATTCCCCCTCCCTCAGTGGCTTGCTCTCCCCCACCCTCACTCACTTTCACTGGGCTAGGGCAGGGGGTTGGGGTGCGGGAGGGAGTAAAGGCTCTAACTGGGGGTGTGGCCTCCAGGGTAGTGCCAGAAATGAGGGGTGCAGGGTATGGAAGGGTGCTCCGGGCTGGGGCAGGAGGTTGGGGTGCAGGAAGGGGCTCCAGGATGAGGGGTGGGGCAGAAGGGTTCAGGGGTCTCTGGGTTGGGGGTTGGGGGGCAGGAGGGGGGTCCAGGTTTGGGGGGCTCAGGGATGGGGGAGAAGAGTGGGGCTCAGTGTTGGGGCACGTGCTTAATCAGGTGCAGCGGTGCAGCGGGGGGGGGCTAAGACAGGCTTCCTGCCTGTCCTGACTCCATGCTTTGCATGCCCCAGAAACAGCCAGCAGGTCCAGCTCTTAGACAGAGGCACGCCAGGTGGCTCTGCGCACTGCTCTTGCCTGCAGGCACTGCCCCCGCAGCTCCCATTGGCCACAGTTCCCGGCCAATGGGAGTGCAGAGCCAGTGCTTGGCGTGGGAGCAGAGCGCAGAGCCCTGTGGCCCCTCCGCCTAGAAGCTGGACCTGCTGGCAGCTTCCAGGGCACAGCGCAGAGCCAGAACAGGTAGGGATTAGCCTGCCTTAGCTCCGTAGCATCACCGACCTAACTTTTTACAGTCCGGTCGGCAGTGCTGACTGGAGCCGCCAGAATCCTTTTTCGACCAGGTGTTCCACTCGAAAACCAGACACCTGGTCACCCTATTTTGAGGGAGAGGCCCCTACTTCTTGGGGGAACTGAGGTTACCCTTCTCCTGCCTCTTTGCTGGTTGTTGAAATGATCATGTTTCAAGCAGAAAAATCTGAATTCAGAGTCTGGGAGGAGATGGTGGCTTTCTCCAAGCTCTTTTGTCAGTAAGTGGAGTATCCCCAGCACTTGACAGGAGGAGAATAATTGTTCAGTCTGAGAGACCCCATCAGCATCTGCCTGATTCTTCACACCTGACCCCTGGCTAGTTTCCTCCCCTCCTTTGGAAGGCAGAGAAGGAAAGGGAGGGAGCCTCCTGCCTCAAACTCTCCTGCCTCTTCTGGGAAATACAGGCTGGCCTGCCAGCTGCTTCCCCTTCCTTAGCTGGAACCCTGGGGGCAGAGAGTGGCCCTACCAGTTCCTTCTCTCTACCTGGAACTGCATAGTGTGTGGTGTGTATGTGTGTGTGTGTGTGGGGGGGCGATGGTGGGACAGCTCCATGCCCTATCTCTCACACATACATGCACTTCTGTTTTGCTCTTTGGGAACCTGGACTTCTATCAGATTCATGTATTCCCTTGTCCCCGGGCCATGTCCCATCACACATGATGACGCAATTTCATTTCACTAAATGATCTCAATGTACAACATACAACAACCAAAACTGAGGACTCCCCCCTCCAGTTTTAGATTTATTTTAACCACTGCTGAGTATCGTGGTGACCAGTTTGTTACCATCTGAGAACTACTTGAGGATGATGTGAAATGTGTGGATGATCTCACCTTGGTTTCTGGTGGATAGATGTCCACATCACACTCACTGGCAGCCTCAGTACCATACAAAGATTAAATGGGCACTGGTGCTGGATTATCCCGATCACCCCTATAGATTTCCCTCCATGACAAGATGGAAGCACACTGGTGGGGTAGAGTGAGGAAGCTTGGTCCTGTCTGTGCTGCACTGAAAAAAAACGATGTTGTGTGTGTCAAACACTGCAAATCCAGCCCTCATGGGTACTAAATTCACTTTGTGAATTAAGAGTTGTCATTTTTACATTATCTCCTATAACAATAGAGCGTATCATTACAGAATATGACACAACTCCACTGTAAAACACAGCTCTATAAAAACATGTAATTTATATGGCTGTAACAGTCATCTGTATTATCTCTACAGCTACAGGGATATTGCCATCCATTTACAGTACAGAAATGAGGGCTAGAGCAAGGATATGCTGTCTGAAGCAGTGTTTATGACCTGTGCTGTTTTGCTGTATATCATGACTATTTAACTGTCAGTCATAGAAAGGGCAAGATTACCTATGCCAGGGGTTCTCAAACTGGGAGTCGGGACCCCTCAGGGGGTCATGAGGTTCTTACATGGGGGGTCGGGAGCTGTCAGCCTCCACCCCAAACCCCGCTTTGCCTCGAGCATTTATAATGGTGTTAAATATACACCTCTACCCTGATATAACATGACCCGATATAACACGAATTCAGACATAACGCGGTAAAGCAGTGCTCGGGGGGAAGAAGGGGGGGCTGCACACTCCGGTGGATCAAAGCAAGTTCGATAGAACGCGGTTTCACCTATAACGCGATAAGATTTTTTTGGCTCCCGAGGACAACGTTGTATCGAGGTAGAGGTGTATTAAGTGTTTTTAATTTATAAGGGGGGTCACACTCAGAGGCTTGCTATGTGAAAGGGGTCACCAGTACAAAAGTCTGAGAACCACTGACCTATGCCCAAGAGTAATTCAGTAGTAATTATTTACAGTGGCATGATCCTGAATTCCTGAACACTCAAAACTCCATTGACTTAAACAGATGTGACTGAATAGAGACTGCAGGATTGGTCTTAGTGCCATTAATAAAAATGGGATGTACCAACAGCCTAAATTGAAGTGGACAGTGCCTTGCTAGGGCAAAATGTTAATGTTAATACAGACAGAGGGTTTGATACTGTGAGGTACTTTGCACCCTCACTACCTTCTAATGTCAATAGGAGGGGAAGACACTCAGCACCTTGAGGATTATGCCCATTATGGGGAGGAGACAGAAGACGACTTAGCTGTGTTTACAGTGGGGATTAGGCCAACCTAACTACGGCGCTCACTGAATGATAGTTTTCTCAAGCCCTGAGCAACATAGCTGGGTCGATCGGATTTTTGAGGTGTGGCCCAGGCCTGTGAGAGAAAGGACCAACCCAGGAAATGGGATTGGAAATTGTGCTTTATTTTGTTGTTTACATTCTTCTTTGCATAATGGTAGTGCCTAGAGCCTCTGCTCATGGATCAGGGCCCCATTGTCCTAGGCACTGTACAGATACATAATGAAAAGACAGAGCCTCCCCCATAGAGCTTACAATCCAAGTATATGAGGAGAATCAGCAGGTGGACACAACAAACTGAGGGTAAACGTGATTTAACAGGACAATAATGATTACTGTGAGAAGCAGCAGTCACAGAAGTTACAATGGTGTGAGTAAAAATCAGGGTATATTCTTAGATTTGTAAGTCTTAACTCTGAATTGTTCTTTTTTTCTGGGTTTAAATCAGACCCCTAACATTAAAATAAACTTGTAATTCTGTGTGCAGAATTACTGCATGATCATTTGCTGTTGCTTCCTGCCTGTATTATCATACTGGTCAAATTGCATATGTCTCATGATAGACATGGGGACGGATGCTCATCTCATCTGTTTACGCTTGTGAACTCCACTGAAGTCAAGAGAGTTACAGCAGAGTTAGACTGATGTCAGATCAAAAACAGCCAAAGAAAATGCTTAAGGCATCTTGCCAAAAAGTGTGTTTTGGGGGCTGTGACCAAGGCAGAATGTGTCTTAATGTAAATAAACAAGGTTAGGTTACTCAATTTTTTTTCCTCTTTATTGCTTTTTGACAGGCTATACACAAACAAACGTTGGAGAAGCCCTGGCAGCTGTGCATGGCTCTGAGTTCAGTCAAACAACTATTTGCCGCTTTGAAAATTTGCAGCTAAGCTTCAAGAATGCCTGCAAACTGAAATTGATATTATCCAAGTGGCTGGAAGAAGCAGAACAAATAGGAGGTAGATATTTATAATACCCCTATAATTTAGTCTTACCCCTATAAGAAGCACTTTAATGTATAAGATGGCTAGTAGGGTATAACTTCCACTGGTCTAGCTTTTTGTTTATTCAGGTGGGGAAGTTAAATATAAATATTGTAGGATCAGTACATGCATTAAACTCAGTAGGACTGATGCCTGTGTCGTGGGTAGAGGGAAGCAAACCTGTCAAAAAAGTGTGGCTGGCACAAATTAGGGAGATGTGACTCTCTTATATGTCGCTCATTTCCCTCAAGCCTATTCATGCAAACTAACCCAGATCTTGAGGTGCAGGGCAGCTGTTTTTTTGATGCACTACCATTGAATTCTAATCCAAAAGACAGCATAGCTGGCTGTGGAAGAATCACTGGTATAAGGAAATCTTCCAATGGCAGAGCGCTGATGTTGCTCCCTACTACAGTTGTAAGGGATGTGGCAATGGGAAAAGGAATGTGACTAGCCAACACCAAGCCCCCAATAACAGTAGTAGGGTGGGGGCTATCATGGGCATCTTGACATCTGCTCTTTGCCATTGAAGGATCCCCTTCCCTATGCCCTGCAAAACCCCAGCGGCTGGATGAGCCGCTGGGATTTTGTGGCAGAGGCGTGGTTTAGGACATGATTTAGAATAGGTTGGCTGTTGTAAATTACATCGGAAGACCTGCCCAGCACGTAACTGGCTCAGGATGAGGAGAGTCTCCGGCAGCGTGTGATCCTGGGCCTTAATCCTGTAGCGGAGGTTCTGCACGTCAGCAGCGGGTATGCTGGGGGTTAGAAGAAATCACCTCCAGATCCAAAGCCTCTCTCCACTGTAAGATTCCCCTAATGACCAACCCAGGTGGGCAGGTGACTCTTTCATATTCAGCAGAGCTGACTCGTCCTCTTGAGGATCCAACTCAGCTTGGACAGAATTTCTCATCTGGGCCCCAAGATGGCTGATCCTTTCTAATCTCACAATCAAAGCTTCTCCTAAGACATGCAGTATGTTCTGGAGTGCCACTGACAGAGGACCTAGTACACACTAGATTGGATTAAATCAGATTTTGTATGTTCTATCACTATCAAAATGACTTTACTGATCATTAAGAAAAGAGAAATGATGTGTAAGTAAGAAGATACTTCCATTGTTATAGTAATTTTTACCATTGCTATTTAACCCCTACATTTTTATCTGTTCGGTGAACTCCTGCCTGCTTTTTCCTCCTCCAAACCACAAATGATGGGGCGGGACCTCGGGTGGAAGGGGCGGGGATGGGGGGGGTCAGCCTCCCCCAGCCAGCGCTGCCCAGCCTGTGCCGCCTGGGGCTCCGGTGGCAATTTAAAGGGCCTGGGGCTCCGGTTGCTGCTGCGGTAGCAGCAACGTCCGCCATCACCAGAAGCCCCAGGCCCTTTTAAATTGCCGGGCCCCGGGGCAGCTGCCCCTTTTGCCTGTTGTTGTTTGTTCTAGAAAAGCATCCTCCCCCTCCTCTTCTCAATTTGATGGTCAATAGTAGATTCCATATCATCATGTCACCCTTATTTTATTCCCCTTTTATCTTTCCCAGAGACTTTCAAATGGTCTGCCTCTTATCTACTTCTGAACCTCAGATAAATGGGTATATGTTCTTGATGTGCAATGCAATACCACCTCCTTTTTCACTGACTCTCCTTCCTGAACACGCTATGCCCCTCTATAACTAATATTCCAGTCCTGAGATTTAGCCCACCAATCTCTGTGATACCAATTGTCATCATTTAGCTTATGTACTAACTTTCAGTTTTTCCTGTTTATTCCCCATACTCCTTCCATTTGTGTATAGGCATCTAATATGTTGAGCAGATTCCCCCACTAATTTCCCTCTTCTTGCTCCTGTGACCCTATTGTAATTTTCCATGTCCTGCACAACATCTAGCTTTTTTCTGTTTAACTGTGGGCATTTGTCAACTGCCTCTTTGAATCTAGTATAAAGCCCTCACTAGGTTGGTGAATCAGTACGCGAAGATACTCTGGCCCTCCTTGGTCAGGTGGACCCCATCTCTTCCTAGCAATCCTCCTTCCCGGAACAGCATCCCATGGTTGAGGAAGCCAATGATGCAATCTCAGATGCACCCAAAATCAGCCCTTGTGTGAGCTCAGCCTGCATTCATGAGCCATGTTCATAATGGGTACAAATTCTTTTGCCCTGTGTGTGAATATCCAGGCCAACAGACTTGGTGTTTCTCCAGTGCATTTTGAAAATGAACTGCATCTCTTGGAACAAATTACATCAACATTTCCTACTATGACCATTAAACCCACTGGCACAAAACTAGCAAAAAAAAAAAAAAAAAACAAACCTCTGATCAAACCCAAACCAGGCCTATGAGTTTGCAACAAGATTCAGCCCTGGGAAACATTACCTGGGGTTGGACAGGAAATATTTTTATGTACAGACTGATTCTGACACACTCAAAAAAATGAATCTGCTTTGAACCAGCATAGATAGGTTCCTTCAGGAGTAAGTAAGGGTTTATGTTATGAATAGTGCTGAAGAGTGCAATTACAACATTCAGCCACCAGATGTCCCACAGAGAAATGTTTTAAAGCAGACCATTCAGCAACAATATCTGGCATGCGTTCCTGGTATTAAAACATGACTGGTAACAATGGTTTCTAGAAATTATTGTACTTGTTTTAATCTTGTATGGAAGGTAACTCCCCCTTTTTTAATATAGCTTTATACAATGAAAAAGTTGGCGTGAATGAGCGGAAAAGAAAGCGCAGAACCACCATAAGGTAATACAATACTTCAGAAAATTATGTATTGGAAGTCCTTTTTTTTTTCTTTTTTTTTTTCAGATCCTTATTAGGTTTGAAATCTAGAAGCCCTCTCTAGAGCTGGTTGAAAAAATAATCAAAATTTGAAAAACGGGGACAAATTTTGTGTGAAAATTTTCCCAAAAATTTCATACTATTTATCAAGCAACTAAAGAGCTGCACCAAAACCTTCAGCCTTTTAATTTTTTTCAACCCCCTCCCAAACCCACACACACACTTTTTGTTTGTAAAAAACATACCCACTTATAACCCTTGGTAATCCCATCCTTTAGATGTCCAACTCAGTAATAAGCTTCTGTACCCCACTGGCTCCTTATACAGCCTCTGAACTTCCTTTGTGGGAGGTTTGATGATACAGGAGCAATTGCATTACTTCTGCTATTACTTCACATAGCAGGAAGTTGTCAGAGAAACCCTGAAAAGTCACTAGATGCCGCTATTTAAGCATTCAAAAGGCACCAAAAAATGTCATTAAATAACATGTCCACAGAATTCAACAAAGAATTTTGTACATACACATGATAAATTTGCATTGAACATACTACTGAAATAATACATTATAGAATTTCTATATACACTAATCACTGAAAATGTGTTTAGACTGTATGTCATATTCCAACAGGTGTTTGTCATAGAGTTTTGAAGCGCATTCCAGGGCTTCTTGTGCTGAGAGACTGTGAATGGGATTTGACTAGAGCTCCTGTTGGCAGAAGAGGTTATTTACTGTAACTGGAGATTCTTTGAGATGTGTGGTCTCTATCTGGATTCCAAATGTGGGTGCGCATGCACGTGGTGCGCCAGAACTGTTCATAATTGTGTCCGTTGACCCGCACATGCATTGTGCATCAACTGCGTGGTGTATCTGAGGCTTTAAAGGGGCTGCGAGGCTGCTCCAGTAAGCAACGGAGCCTGGAGCGGAGGGCGGATATTGGAATCCAAATGGGGACCACATATCTTAAAGAACCTCCAGTTACAGTAAATAACCTTTTCTTCGAGTGATGGTCTGTATGTGGATTCCAAATGTGGGAGAGTAGTGAGCAGTACTCATTGCAGAGGTGGGCGTGAGGGCTCACCAGAAGTTACAGGCTGAAGGACAGCTCGATCAACTGCCGCATCCACCACTGCAGCAGGGACGAGGGCATAGTGGGCAGTAAAAGTGTGGACAGAGGAACAAGTGGCCTCCCAACAAATGTCCTGCCATGGAACATCCTTATAAGACTGCCGTGACGGTTTAAGCACGCATGGAGTAGGCTATGACCCCTGATGGGAGGTGTGTGTGGTGGGGGGGGGGTGGAGAGGACATGAGAGAGAGCGTAGCAGTCCATAATACAGAGGGAGATCCAGGGGGAGAGGCGTTGTGAAGAGAGGGTGCGGCCCCAGCAGCATTCTGCAATGGTGAGGAAGAGGCAGGACGAAGCGCAGAAGGCACAAGTGCGGTGCAGATAAAAGGCAAGTGCTTGGCGGACGTCGAGGGTGTAGCGTGTGTTCCCTGTATTAGGCGTGTGGTTTAGGGTAGAATGTGGGGACGATGTCCCTTGGAGCTGGCTTTCTCTGTTTTTGCACCTTTGGTGGCCCACATCTATGGAGTTCAGCCCCCTCTGTCTGTGGAAGCAGAGCAGGCACGGGCCCTCTTGTTGTTAATATAGCTCATTAACAAAAGTATTTACATACATAAATAAGCAAAATCAGAGGGGTAATGATACATCAATAAAATTATGTATTTTGATCCAATTATTAGCTAAATATGATGAAACCTCTCTGCTAGGTTGTTCCAAACTATGATGACCTGGATACCACCCAGGAATGGCTCCAGTGCACAGATCTGTCCCAATGCCTGTACTAGCATGTATACAATCCCAGTGTCATTGCAAAGAGCTTTGCAAAAAATTTTGTTAAAACCAGCATGACTCTAGATTTCTATGTTAGGGGGAGAGTGACCATCTGGAATACTCTTCAGAGATCCATGGTGTTTAGAGTCAAAGACCCTTTTTCTAATTACTGAAGAGGTCATAGTCCCAATATGAGACACCTCTTCACAGCTCCAATTCTACATGGCATGCTGCTGCTCAGCTATCACACTCCTGATGCATCAGTGCTATGCTGGCATCCATGAAACACCTTTGATTTGCAAGCCACTACAACTAAGTGGTTCCTTACACACTATAAATGATCAGTTTTGTATACACACTGGGCAAGGGGCACTCTGTGGACACAGTAAGAAAATCTTCACTGATCCCTTGGGGAGCATGGGGACCCAGTTTGGGACCCTCTTTAAGAATGAGCTGGAAGAGAGTACACTACCTTATCTGCACTTCACTCTCATTGAAGATAGGGAGAATTGTTAGGTAGGTTTCTTGAGGATAAAATAGAAGCTGGAGATGAAAAACAGTAAGTGAGTTAGCCTACTCCAGTGCAGGAGCTTTGTATGACCTGATCAAACTATCCATAATATGGATATGGGAAATGATATTTTATTTTCAGCTAGCTAGCATCAATAGCCCAACATAAAAAAGAAAATGCATTACTAATGAAATTACACTAAGGGCACTCTAATGTTACATGCAAAGTTATTCACCAGTACTAGAATTTCTGCTGAAGTGTCTTGAACCTAACAGAAATAAACACGCTCCGTATCTAGACTAAAGTGTACAGTGACCTCTTGTGGACAAAAAAAAACTACAGCTAATGCTAAAACCAGATGTGACAAGATCAAACTTTTCATCCTAACTGCTTCTTTACAAGCACGTTTCAAGGCACTTATTCTTTTGGGACAATAAACAGCACCAAAAAGCCAGATTTCACCTATATTTAGCCCCGCTGTCTGAATATGGGAGGAAAATAGCACTTAACTTGTATGCTGTCTATACCAGCTCCTTTGGGTTCTACTGCAATGCAAATAGTAAGCTAAAACTGACTTTTGGGGAGAGTGTGATGATTCTTGGGATAGGTTGCCTGCCATGTGCTGTATAACTTGCATGAACTACAGTTAATGAGTTACCCCCAAATAATAAAGTCATTATTTTCAGTGTGGATTGAAGGTAAAGATACTATCAGATTTTTGCAGCCCATGGCAGCATGGAACCATAATGCCCTTTAAACTCAGGTTTTTACTGAGAGGGAGAGCAGAGCAGTTTCTTGCCTTTTTTAGTGCAATATTTTTAATGTTCATATCATTGCAACTTAGTCTAAAATAGCAGCCATGACCTGAGTATGTCCAAAGTCAATAAAAGGGGCATTTTTATTTATCCCTTCTTCCAGCATTGCTGCTAAAGAAGCTCTAGAGAGAAACTTTGGGGAACAAAGTAAGCCTTCTTCTCAAGAGATTATGAGGATGGCTGAGGGGCTTAACCTGGAGAAGGAAGTTGTGAGAGTTTGGTTTTGCAACCGAAGACAAAGGGAAAAGAGAGTGAAGACAAGTTTACACCAGAACACCTTTAGTTCCATTATGAAGGAGCATCACGAGTGCCGGTAAAGTTTCCTGTGCATAGTTGAAGATTTCTGGGCCTTTAGGTATTTTTTTTTTTTTTTAAGTATTTTGTCAGTCTGAACAGAAACACTTGTTTCCTTTACAAGTTAGTCAATTTTAACTGTAATATCTTCAGTGGGCTTTATCTTAATGTAAAAGATTGGAAACATTGTTACTATATGTATTTGTGCAGGAGAGACGGTTGCTTAGCTGTCAACTATTCAATCTGCATTAATTGATTAATGTGTTACAAATTGCACCATAAGTACAATACGCTCACTAGTTAATGTGAATTTTGTCCAAAAGATCTGGAATGAAATCCTTTGTGTTAATTACAAAGAAGTTACTTACTGGTACTGTAGTGTGTGAAAATGTTGACTGCACATGCACACTTGTGTGATGTGCCCCTCACTCCCCAAACAGCAATGAGCTTCACAAACCTTCTAGAAAAGCAACAACTGTTGGGATCACCGAAATGCCCCTTCCCGGCACCAAACATTTAGAGCTGAGGGAGGAGGCTGCGTGATCAGTGGCTGGTCCTCCTGCTAAACTTCAGCATCATTGAACTCTGTGGAAAGTGACCAGGTAATTGAGACAGGTGCCCGTCTTAAAAAACTGCTTACTGGCAAACAGCCTTTCTTCTTTAAAGAGGCCTCTACATCTTCCCTCTTGTGGAGTCTAGCTGGTAGCCCACCCTCATGGGGTTGTATTGAGTTCTATTAAGCAAGGACTGCAGAACTGCCCTCCCAAAGGGAGCATCGAATGTAGCTGCTTGGTCAAAAGAGAACTGCTATGTAATTGGGAGGCCAGGACTCCAGGTAGCAACTTGGCAGATTTCTAGGATGGAAACATTACAGAGGCATTTTGGCTGCTGCCTTAGCCCTGGTAGAATGAGCTTTAAGACCCTTGAGGTACTGACACCTTCGCTAATGCGTAACATTTCTCAATACACAGCCAATCCATTTAGACAGGTGCTGAGCAGAAATGGCATTTCCTTTACACTGATTGCCAAAGGCTACAGAAAGTCTTGCTGACTTTCTAAATGCTTTAAACCTAGTTAAATCAAAACAAGTATAACCTCATTTTCCCCTGGGGAGAATGAGGTTTAGAAAAGAACAGGCAGAAATCATTATTTCTAGTCCTCTCTTCTCCTGTCCTGCAGAGCTGACAAAATGATTTCATAGCTCCACCCCCCAGGAAGCCAGGGACTGAGGGGAGTTGGAATAATGTGACTTCAGCACTCAAGGGACAGGTAGTCCCGTGATCATTGCAGCAACATTGCTCCCATTATTTGTTACAGTGATACTAATTAATGTGTATATATTTCAAGCTTTTTCCCAGGACTAAAATTACAGAAATGCACATTAGTGGTAATGGTAAATACAAAACAAATTTTTTATGAAGCAGGCGTGATGGTGATTTAGAAAATGACTAGATAATAGATCCAGAAAGAGATTATAATATTTGAGGTCACTAAGGTGAGTGTATATCACGTAGAACATATCTATGTTGGTGTGCTTTAAATAATACATAAGCACAGCCAAGAAGGGGCCCTAGGCATGTTAAACTAAGGAATATAGTCTCCTGTATTAAGAAAATATATAGTTATGAATGAACTGCATTATTGCTTTTATTTTTCTCCCTAGGAGAGAATTCTAAATTAAAACTAAGGGGGGGGGGAGAATATCCCTCTCCCCCTTGCTAATGCATGTTTTATACAGGATTTGAACTATTCTAACCCCCAGACTATCACAACACAAACACAGATCAGTCACTACTTTACAAAGCAAGAGTGCACTTTCTGGGATTAAGCCTCAGCCTTCACCACCAACCACAGGACAGAACTGCACTTTGTAAGAAAAACAAACAAACAAAAACCATTGGAAAGAGTAGCGAAATGAAGGTGATGATTTGTAATTTTATTCCTTGGTTACTTTTTGTTTCTTTGTTTGAAGTTTCTTGTGGTGTATTATGCATATGTAGTCAAACTTGCAATATGGTATAGTTTTAGATTTTATTTATTTTCTAAATTATTTGCCTGTTTAAAAAGGGTTATGAAAAACTGTAACCCTACTCTTTGCCAAAAATAAAGCATTGTTCAAATAACTTGTAATACCAAATGTAACTGTCCACATTTGTTTGGTTGTGATAGTATTTTGATTTTACTTTAGGTGGCAACAGAGTGGAGCAGCTAATCTTTTTTGCATGCTACAGTAAATGCATCAGCAGTCATTACCCCGATGCTCTTGTCCTCCAAGAGTGATTATGGGTAAAGGACACTTTCAAAAGCATGGCAAAACAAATGAAACCAGGCACTGTGCCATTTTCACATAGCGGAATAGTGAACGGTTAACTACAGCAAGCAGCTTGTCCGAAAACATCTGGGTTACAGAAACATTAGCACAATAGGGCACACTTCAGACCACCAGATTGACAGCCTTAAGATGTCCTATACCTAGATCCCTGACCCTCAGGAAGGTGGGGAGTTCAACCCTATCTCTAGAAGCTACTGATCACTCGTCTGGTTTCACCCTCTTCCAGGCATCCTTCTGAGAATGCTCTTCTGATACCTGATCCTTTAAACCTGGGGGACAAGCAGCTGCAGTCTTAAGGTAGCCATATGCATTTGACTTATGCAGGCTGTATCTTACCCTTCCCTCCCGCCCTTACAGGTCATACGTATTCTTGGCTCCTAATATTTCCCTTTGTAAGGCTAAGGTGATGCCTTTTAACAGTTTATATTAAACTTTGTGGTGGGACAGAAGTTCTCCAGTAAGCTGTAATAGGGTGCCACTACCAATACAAGATATTACCTCACCCACTTTGACTAATGATAAAAGCAACTGAGCTTTGAATTAAACAATTTGAGAGATTGTTTTAAACAGTGAAGGAGCATTGTAGACAAATGGTTGATGAAATATGGGGCACATAGCAATATCAAGCCCAAAGCAAGAAATACTGGTTTTTGCTTTGCCAAATGACCATTTTCACTGCTGTTTCAATTGTATTTAAGTGCACAGTTTCTAATACTTACAGCCATAACCTCTGCTCTGATTGCAGCAAAAATAAATTGGGCAGGGTTGGGTTGTGGGAGGGGGAAGGTGAAACAGTGAAGAGGGGAGGGGGCCTAGAGTAGGGTCAGCAGTTTTCAGCTACTTTTTTTTTTAGCCCAACTAGGGTGACCAGATAGCAACTGTGAAAAAACGGGACAGGGGGTGGTGGGGTTATAGGCGCCTATATAAGAAAGTCCCAAAAACCAGGACATGTGGTCAACCTAAGCCCAACAAGCTAGTGCTAAGGTTCAGTGTGTGCAGAAGCCTCCCCACCCCCACCAGCAATAGTAACAATCAAATTAAAAAAAAAAATAACCACTGATGGAATTCACAACTAATATCTCTACTAAGTGATAACGTCACAAAAGATTATGAAGTCCATTATTAGATAACTTACATGCAAGACCCCACCATCAGGACAGCCATTGTGGGAATAAAAGCTTTTATTAGATTTTTACAAAATAAATTGTAAAAGAAAATTCACCCCAAGTGTCAGGAGTGTATGTGTGTATTATGTACACTTGCACATTCCAAATGCATGGTTTGGCCCCATGTATTCTAGTGAAAACAGCATTCTGTATTTCTACACCAAAACCTAGACCTGGGCTCACAAACTGATGATTATAACTTATTTCCCTGCTCAATCCTGCGTTGGCAGATGTGACAATAGCAATCCCACTCAGGACTTGCTTCCCCACTTAGAGACTAAGCACTCTAATTAAATGGCTTCCCCTTAAAGCCACTGCTATTCTATGGGCCTGATGAAGATACAGATCAGAGACTGGAAAACCTTAGAATCTGAGCCTGTTCCTATTATACTGTAATCCAAATCACTTGTCTAACCATACCTTCTATTGTACAATGTAATACCCAGCATTTTTTTTAACCTAAAAGGAGTAATCATAGGCATAAGACAGCCAAGTCATTCTGATAAGATTTAGATTTCACCTGCCAACATGTACCTTTGTAAACACTACTGTATCTTTAAACAGTTCTTATTAGGGGATAAGTACTGTAAAATATATACACAGATTTCAGGCAAGATTCCTTTTCCAAGTGCTGAAGTACTTTATATATGACCTTCAGCATGGACTGCTATCAAGTGTAGATGGAACTTTTCAGAATATTTTGTACCTGGCAATAACTGCCTTAACAGTAGTTACTTCACTCTTTAACGATTAATACAATTTTGAAAAATCAGGAGGGTATAAGCAAGGTTTTATATACACAAAGGCACAACAATTCTGTTGAAGTTAGCTATGTTACAGTACAGTTTATTCAGTGCCTTTCATGCAAAATATTCACTAAAAATATTTAGTTCAAGCCTCTTCCACTGAAGTCAATAAGAGCTGGATTGCACCCATACCCTTCAGTAAGTAGTACAATTATCTAAGAATGAATCAACTCAATTTTACTAAAGACACCGGAAAAACAAAGCTATAATTGCCTACACTTACTAGTGTCAAGGTTCTCTCTCACCAAAAGAAAAAGGTTATCCCTTTTCAAACTGAAAGCAATTGTAAAGACAAGATCATAAAATATTCTAAGAACTTTCCACGTGTAGTGATTTTATAAACACTCCAAATATTATCCAGAGAAATAAATGTCATCATAAGATGACAATTTCAAAAAAGCTAAACAGATGAAAATCTTGTATTATAATTGTTATTTTTCCAAGTCTGCTTGCCAGCCGACATTTTGTAAATTAAAAAAAAGCCAGTGCTGCTCAAGCAACTAAGTTGTGGGGATAAATCTTGAATGCAACACAACCCAAATTCAGACCTGGTGTAAATGGATGTACCCTTTACCCTAGATCTCAATCTGGTGTTCAAAAGAATCCCACATGCAAATTATCTATTCATGTCATCTGATAAAGCAGTTTTTCAAACAATTTTAGGAATTCAGTGCCACTGCTAATGGTTCTCTGGCAAGAAATAAGCCTTTTTTGGTGTGAATCAGCTTATTTCTGAAGCCTTCCGTTCTCCTTTTAAAC